ATAAAGTTATGTCCAACTGTATTTATTGCTGTGTGACAAACTAAGTTTTGTTTTTTGAAATGCTATATGCTGTATGCTGAATGATTGTCCAATTTATGATATGTATTCGTGACATCCTTAGCATCATGTGATATCTGTTGGCTGTTACCCGGTATCGGAGGTTCCTTTATGGAACTGGTTATTCGTAACCCTCATGTGTCTGTATCTGTTCTGTATATGCTAAGGGATGTATCACGTATGTTTAAGTAAGACTTGTGACATCTGTGTATGATTTGGACAAGAATGTGAATACGAACATGTATATGAATCTGTTTCTAATTAAAATCTGGATGTGTATAAGACTCTGTTTTGATACGAACCCTAATCTCTGTATATGATTTATGATTCTGTTTCTGCACGAAGCTAAGGTCGAGATTGGGTTATGAGCATATTTATGAATATGGTTATGCTCCTGTTTTGTAAAAAATTGCAGTTATATTTGCGATGAACATCATTTCTTTTGATATAAGATAACTTGAGTTTGGAGGACCAAACTTTTTAAGTTGGGGAGACTGCAACAATCCCTATCCGTAATTAGCCACTAATTCGTATTTAATGAGAGGATTAAAATAAATTATGTGTTTATTCTGCACTTTGTATGATTTTGACTTTCTATTTGTTACTTATAGAAATATCTGTTTGGAACTCCACTTTAATATGTAAATCGAAAGCCTTATCGGCATCCGAAATCGAAATTGACTACACCGATGTGTTATTTGGAATTTTTAGAACCATATGGCAAATTTTATTAAAAATTGATTCAGTCTGATTCGTTAAGTTGTGTTTGGCAAGCTTTATGTTCTAATTAATGTATTTTAGCACCATGGTTATACATGTAACTCTTAAACTCATTTTTGAGCTCAATTCTTTTACCTCTTAGTGCCAAAATCTGAGAATTCATTTTAGAGAGAGAGAGAGAGAGAGAGAGTGCAATTCTAGAGAGAGATAAGAAGAGATTAAGGAGAAATTGAAGGCTATAGCTTGAATTGATCAAAGATTGTGCAAGTACCTAGCTAATTGAAGACTCTAGGTAAGGATTTAAGACTTAATTATGATTTTTAACCATCAAGTAGATCATTTCAAGAAGAATTTGTGATTATGTACAAGAATTAGATCAAAGATGATGAATTTAGAGTTAATTCATACATGCATGCTTAGTTTAGTTTAATTTCATCATTTTGAACATGATTCATATCATCCATGTTTGAATTATCATGTTTTGAACCTTGATTTCATATTTTGAAAAGGGATTTCTTACATGCATGGAGCTTCTGAGCTCAATTTACAAGTTTCATGAGTTTTGGAGCAAAGAGATTGAAAAGTTTTGCATGCATGTACATTTTCTTACAAATTGAGCATGACTTCCATGAATCCTCTCTTGCATGTTTGAAATTCATCTTCATTTGGAGAAAGCATCAGGTTTCAAGTTGTTTTGTGGTGTTTGATCATGTTTTGGGAAGCTTAAGACCAAGAAAATCCACGCATGTTGTGTTCATGAACATTCTTAAAGTTTAAGTTGAAATTGTGAACTTTTGGTAAACTCTTGGGCCATGATTTTATGAAATAATCCTTAATTCATAATGTTTTACAAGTTTACTATGTTATCTCTAGTTTTGGGGCCCAAGAGATGTGTTTTGGATGGTTGAATTCAAGTTTTGAGCTTGGGAAGTCAATCTGGATTTTCCAGAAATTTGACCCACGCTCGAGCGGGGACTTTCACACTCGAGCGTGAACCCTGAATTCATGCACCACGCTCGAGCGTGGGTCGAGCGCCCATCCAGCGTGAAAACCTTGCATCCAGTACTTTTTAGAGTTTACAGTCCACTCGAGCGGGGAAAGCCACGCTCCAGCGAAGATTCATTGTCTGCATGTCCGCTCGAGCAGGACCTCATTTTCAGAAAAATTTGACAAAGTGTTCCAATTCATGTTTTGGCATCCTCATTGCATCTTGGGCATTCCTAAGACCTAATTAAGCTTTGATAATGAGATTATGGATTAGAAACACACTAAGAAATGAATGTACTAAGTCAAGGAATTGCAAGTGTGTATGTGTGTGTGTTTAAGCATTGTGATAAGAAAGAACAAGAACCAACGTAATAAAAGCTAAGCTGTGTTGGCCACATGAATGTGTAATGATAAGATATGCTTGTGTTATGTATTTTGTGGTTGTAGGTCAAGACTCAAGGACTGATTGACCGCTTACTGGAACCACTGTGAGTAACGTTATCGTAAAGATACGTTCATATGAATTATGTTCCAAATGAAATGTGATAAGCTATGATTTCTGGAATGATATCTGTTTACGTGAATGAACATCCCAAGTTTGAAATCTATTATGGCATCCATAGATAGTCCCAAGTCATGGGGGACGGTATGAAAATGCGGGTCCATGACATACAAGTTTACGAGATCTCGTTAGCCACTTCATTGTGGTGATATGTGTTTAATCGGTATCCGGAATCGATTACTCTAGTCGGAAGATGTTCTGTGATGTGTTCTATGGGATGTACCATTATTATGTTCTGATATGAGGATGATTATGTTATGATCTATTTTCCGCTTATGATATGTTCGGATTTCGTTCACTAACCTCTTTACCTTAAAGTTATTCATTGGGTTTTAGCTCACTGTTTGTATATATATATATATATATATGTGTATAGGTGAGCATTCTGGAGTTTGAGTCTGAAGGCTTTTGTCTGGATCTGTGTTCCGTTGTCAGCCAACCATTGTGCCTCACGTGGAGATTCCTGAAGCGTCCTGTGTTTAAGTTCTGTGATTTCTGTTTATTTAAGACTTGATTTGATGCCGTTGGCTGTACTTAAAATACTGTAATGTGTGTGGGTATAATGTATGGTTGACTACCGGTTATGTATGTAAAGTTTTAAATATTCTGTTTCATATAAGTCAGCACAGCTCATTGGACAACTATATTTATGTATTTGCTTCCGCTAGCCCCTTAATCTTGTTAATCTATTTAGAGGCCTTCGGTAATCCAAGGATTACTGGCCGGTTACGATGCTAAACCTATAGGGGCGGGTTTCGGTCGTGACACCCATGCAGACTCTTACACGGTAGATTTATGGGCGGACTCGAGTTACAAACCTTTGTCCAAAACTCTAAATCATTTTTTTTGGATTGTGACTAATTGGACACTCAAGCGGGCTGGGTTGAATTACGAGACAGATTGCTTGGATTTGATCATATCGGATTTTTTGTCCGCGGGCTATTTGAAGACCCTAATCCAAACCAAGGGGCTCTAGTCTAGTTGGCTAGCCCATTGGCTACCATGTCTCTCCTAAGGAGGAGATCTTGGGTTCCACTCTTAGGAGTGGAATAGGAAGGTAAATCTTTTTTACAAGGTGAATGGGTGAGTTTTAACTCTCCCAATGTACTAATCTAACAACTAATTTTATGACTTTCGTTGATTAAAAAATATACAAATTAAATCAAACTCAAGTTTAAATATAATTAATACAAATTAAATGCATTAATACAATCAATATAAATTAAATCAACTGTGAAATCTGACTCAAATTTCCAGTACTTCTTTTACCTAATAATTCTTGTATACAAAAAAATTATTAGGTGCAATCAAATTTATTGTAATAGAGTAATAAGGTGAAGACATATCAATATAAATAAAATTTAAAAATATAATAGGTTCGTTTCTCGGATTGGTTGAGTTTAGGGAAAGTCTAAATTAAGAACCAATCCAATCCAATCCTATGGATTTGATGATTTGAAGATCCAGAATCAAATCAGTACACTTCCAAACCAAGCCAACCCAACTTAAAGTGGTCAATTTGATTCGATTATTGATTTACTAGGTAATTTAAACACCTGATCGATAGATAACCGTAGTGGCAGGCAGGCTTGTAAAAGATTGCAATCAAAAACCACTGCGAGGTATGGAATTTGTCTCAACGAGATAGTTTGATACACTAGCTTTGATCAACTCTCTTTCTTTCTTTTTTCTCTCTTCTTCTTCTTCTTCTTCCTTTTTTTTTTTCCCTTGTTTATTTATTTATTTATTATTATTTTTTTCTTTAAATTGATAGTAACTGAAAGTTAAAGTGTATGTTCTCTGTTTCACTCAGTCTCTGTTTTCCTATTTTGTTCAGTTTTGGTTTTGGTTCAATTTATTTATTTATTTATTTTTAAGAGTAATGTTAGAGACCCCAAATATTCTATCAAAAGTTTTACCAAATGTCTCACAGAGACCCACACAATCATGTGAGACATTTGGTAAAATTTTTGGTAAAATTTTTGAAACCTCTAGCATTTTTGTATTTTTAAAGGTTTCTCCTTCAATTCTTGTTTATGTTTTAAGTAGACACATTCAGCGTAGCACTAAAGTAATTTGTTTCCAACATCCCATTGGTTAGTGATTGTACCCATTGCTGGAAGATTGACTCGAACCACTAGTGAATCTTTGCATGGAAGATAGAACTTTCATACCTCATAAAAATACCCTTTTCTTTTTCTTTTTTAATCAGAATCATTGCATAGAAGATAGAACTTTCATACCTCATAAAAATACCCTTTTTCTTTTTCTTTTTTAATCAGAAAAAAAAAAAATTACTGATGAAAACCAAAGTGCATTACAATAATGCAACACAGGATATACGTCAATAAGCTCCATTACAAATATGTAGTGGAGAGGAGCACAATAATATGGAATGAAACAAGAAATAGGAGAAAAGAAAAAATTGCTAAAAAAAGATAGAACTTTCAAACACAAGTCATATAGTCACTCACTTCTCCACAAAACCTTAAAATGTATTTTAACAACTAACAATCGACTTCTACCGATTAAAAGAAAAAAAAGAAAAGAAAAAATTGAATAAGCACTGAAGAGAAGCAAAAGCATCTTCTTTATACCTTAAATAAAAAATAACATAACCAACCTTTTTAAGTGTATATATATCAATCATTTCTCTTCTATCTTCTTATGAAAACTATATCAGCACCAAATTGTACACCAAATAGATTTTGTAAAAATAGCTTCAAAACCTCCCTCTCTCAATCTTGACTCTGCCCAAGAAAAAAATATGGGGGAATCCAAAACCTTTGCCATGTTTCTTCTCCATGTCTCCATGCTTTGGTGCTTCCTTTTCTACTTAATATTGCTATCTCTAAGCCCTACACAACCCAACTACACCATTGTGAGCTTCCACATCTCAACTCATCCAAACCACGTTAACACGACTACTTCTAGGGTCAATCATGGTGGTCACAATGTCAGGTTATCGTTTGCACTTGAGATTCAAAACCCTAATCAACAGTATGGTGTTCACCATACCAACACCTTGTTGAAGTTCTATTATGGGGAATATACTCTTGGTGAGATAACTATACATCGTTTTCACCAAAAAAGGGGAAGGACTAGCCAAAAATTAATCCACCATGTGAGGGCCCATGCAAGGACCAAACTTCTTAAAGCAGCAATGTCGAATTCGACCGTGGAGTTGAAGGTGAGTTTGGCTACTAGAATTCGATATGAGTTGTGGGGTTGGACGATTAATCATCATCAGATTACCTTGCAGGGTCATCTACCAATTGGTTCGGATGGGAAGATTTCAGGTAAGAAGAAGATTAAGCTATATCGTAGAGAAATATAAAATAAGGGTCAGAGGATAATTAGTATTTTTTTTTTTTTTTTTTTTTTTTTTTTGGGTGGCAAAGATGTTTTGGCTAAGTTTGTATACTTATTAATTTCTTAGTAGTAAATGTGGAAATTTCTTAAACCAATTTGTTACCAACAATCACGTTGTTCATGATTAAAGTATTTCATTCACATAGTGGTAATGCACTTTATGAAAGAGGGAAAGAAGTCCAGAGCAAGAGTTTTATCCATGACTAATTTTCAAAATTTGGCATCCATTAATGTTCACTAATGTTTTCTCACAATATGTCAATATCCCATAAATCTACCACAACTTGTAATCCATAAAAATGAAGAAATTCAAAGAAATAGATTCAGGATGGAAAATACACGTGCGGTTTGATCATACGTGGAGGTGATAGAATTGGGAAAGCCTTGGTGATGTAGATGTGATTTTACCGAAGTTGAGGTGGTTATTGTGTGGGATTATAGCAGTCATATTTGTGCAGCTCATAAAATCCATTTCAAGACCTATTTTGATACTCAAAATCATTCACTTATTAGAGTATACCTGTAGAAATTAAATTGATCAAATATCGATAATCTTTTTTTTATCAAATTGCATTTGAATAAAATAGGAAAAATTCACTTTAACCTCTTGTGATTTGAGGTTGGAACACTTGCCCTGTAGTTCAAATATGGTTTTAGACTAAATTACAGCTGTTATACTTTCCATCCAAATTAATGGAGAGTGTAATACACTCTCCAATTTTGAGAGTGGATCTCCTTTTTTGTTTAAATTAAAGTGCATTTAAAATAGAAAATGACAACTGTGTCCTCATTTTCTTCAACTTCTTCTACAGAATTCTAAAAAGGAAGAACTACATGTAATTGGGAGAATGGAAAATAAATTACCAACATATGGGGGTGCAAGTGTGTCTATACGTCGTGGGCTGCAAATGAAAGATTTGCACATGCACCCTCTCATGTGTTGGTAATTTATTTTTCCTTCTTTCACGTTCATGTAGTTCTCCTTTCTAAAAACCCTAACTATACAAATCCTAATCCTAACCAACTACACCTTCTTTTCCCAACCATTGTAGCCACCTCTAGCCAACCCATCTCCCTTTCTCGACTACCACCAACCACTCATTTTCCCTTTTCAGCCCTAGCATTGCATTCTCATATTTCTGACCACTAAGCCGCCCCACCTTTCATCCCTATCCGCCGCTGCTACCCTATCTACCTTTGCCCACCACCGTAATTGCTCCTTCTTGCCCTCATAGCCCTCGTCAGCAGTGCATCTTGCCTTTGCTGGTAGGAGCTTCTCCTACATATTCCCTTCAATTCCAAGCATCAACTATTATGGCTAAAAAGGTCCAAGCATTATGTAATGTAAGCTTGTACATCACGTGCAGGCTTCTGTGAGAATATATGTTAATTATGGAAACATATCAATTAGGTTGATTGTATATTTTAGATTGATTGTGTGAATATTAGATTGATTGTATAGGGTTCTTATTTCCTATTTCAGATTAGGTTTAGGTTTGCTATATATATAGGTTGTAATCTTTGTATTAGACACAATTTGAATATATAAGTTTATTCAGAAAGTTAGATGGTATCAGAGCTATCTCTGAACCGAAACCCTAGAAGTTGTCTCTGAGTTGCAGGTCGTGACTCTCTCTTCTTCTTCTGGGTTCGTTTAGTTCGATCAAAGGTCCCGAGTTGTCCTTCATCTGGTCATCTGGTTCATCTCTTTCTCTCGTTCTCTACCTCGCGACCCATTCGCGAAAACCCTAGCCTCTAGTTCGTGATTTCACTAGTTCGTGATCTGTCATTAGAATCATGAAGTTGAGTCACCGTCATTGCTAGACTTGCGAGGTTGGGTTATAGCGACATCAAGCTGCCTTATCTCTTTGTTTCGACTGGTGCCTTGTTTCTCTGTTTTGACTGGTCCAGTTCTCTCTCTCTTTCTTTCTCTCTCTCTCTCTCTCTCACTGTTATTTGATCATCTGGTGGTATCATATATCTCTGTCATATAAACTCTGTTTTATTACAGTTTGGCCCTTCTATTATTTGTTTATTCTACTTTTAACCCATCAGTTCTATAAAGCCTGTTTTATTACGATGGTAGACACTAAAATCCAAGCCATCAGATGTAAACTCACTGGTGCCAATTATACTTATTGGGCTAGTGTTATGAAAAATTTCATTCTTGGTTAGAAAAAATGAAGCTATGTTTCTGGTTTTGTTCCTTGTCCATTGGACCCGAAACAAGAAGGATATCTGATTTCCTGTGACACTTAGGATTGTGATAGTGCCCAAGTTCTGATCTAGTTTCATAATTCAATGGATGACCATATTGTAATGATGTTTTCCAAATACAGTACTGCTAAGGAGGTGTGGGACTATTTATTAGGTATGTATCAGCTGTCCAACTTTGCCAAACGGTATAAGTTGGAAACAACTATTCGGAGTGCTCGTCAGCGGGATCAATCTATTCAGGACTTCTACATTGAGATGACAGGTCTCTGGTGTCACGAACCAAACGTGCCCCCTATAAGTTTAGCATCGTAACTAGCCAGTAATTCGTGGATTACTGAAGGCCTCATAAATAGAAATCAAATTATTAAGGGCTAACGGAAGCAAATAACAAATATACAATGTCCATTGAGTTGTGTAGACTTACATGAGACAAAAATTTTTTGAAACATTTTATATACACATATCATACGTCACCCTTACGCCATCACATCTATATAGATAAGACAAAAAGAGTCTTAGTTCTATTTACAGAATAAACAAAACTTAAACTTTAATTACATAGCCATAACCACTTGACATATCCAGAACCTCCACGAGAGGCAGATAGGTTGGCTGACAAAACAGAGTCCAGGCAGAAGCTCTAGGCCTGGTAACACGCCTGATCATCTACTTACAAAAATAATACAATGAGCATGAGCCCACTAAATAACAACAGAGTAAGGTTTTATGAATGATGTCCATAATAGATTTAGAAATCAAAGTTCACATCGGAAACAAATTGAAATTCACATACTTATACAGAATTCATAAGCAGTGAAATGTTGTACTTCCATTAGCTAACAAATCAGATTGGTCATAAGACTCACACGCATAGTCGATACTGACGACCGTAAAGGTCAATATCTTTATGCATAATTAGCCATGGTATTGTTACCTCCAGGCGAGGGCCATGTGAACATAGGTCGCGATATTGTTACCCCCAGGCGAGGGCCACGTGAACATAGGCCACGATATTGTTACCCTTGGGCAAGGGCCACGTGCATATTGACCACGATATTGTTACCCCCGGGTGAGGGCCATATGAACATAAGCCACTGTATTGTTACCCCAGGCGAGAGCCACATGAACTAAGGATGCCACAAATACATTTCAAAAAAATAGACATTCATTCATGATTCATAAAATAGCATTTCAGAAAATAGATCATATTATTTCAGATATAAAATACTTATAATCAAACATAGCTTACAGAGTTGTTACTCACATACAACTCCAGAAGCAGATCAGACAGATCAGACAGATTTGGCAGATGATAACACGTGACCTACACAAACACATAACATATACACATTGAAACACAATATCGTTTCTTGATCAAACTTGACTTCTCTTGTCTTTTTCTGTCTAAGTAATCCGAAGTTCTACTACGCTTATTTTTTCATATTCAAATGAATTGGGTTGTTATTTCACATATTCTTTCATTACCAAGTCCCTCTTTTCCAGGTTACTTGGCTTCTTAATCAATTATTACCAAATCAGTGATTCATTCCTTAACCAACTAATTTTTGTTCATTGTTAGTTTATTAATCTTGTTGAGTCATAATTCTTGCCTAAGAATGCTTGGAAAGAGATGAGATTGAAAATATGAACTTAAATGCAATTCCAAAATATGCTGAAAAGAGTTGTTCGCTCGAGCAGTCTATAAAATTTTAGAATTCTGAATTTCCCAAAAATGGCTTCCAAATGCATTTTTCAATATTCAAACCCATACATATCTTGATCAAAACCTTCAAAACACTTTAGAGAACATAAACACTTATTTATTTATAAATCATTTGCTCAAATTCTCATTAAATTGTCCAAATATAAATCAAAACTTCATGCATACAAATATTTTTAACTTCTTTTCCTTTGAAACATAAGTATGAAATTAAACATGAAACTCATGAATTTTTCTGAAATAAAATTCAATGCAAAAACTTTTATATATCAATACTTTAAAATCCAAACTCAAAATCATGAAACAAAATTAATAATTATTTTATTTGGACCAAAAACATGCTTAAATGTTAAAATCAAAACTCATATCTTCATGAACTCATGGTTTCTAAAATTTTCTTCAAAATCAAATATAATGAAATTGCATGGCTCAATCCCTGAAAATTCATAATGCAAGTAATTTATGAAGCTTAATTTAATTATAACTTTCAAAATCAAACCCAAAATAATTAATTTCCAAATTGACTTCTATAATTTTTAACCTAACTCAATTTATTTATCCTTCTTACTAATTGCTTTCAATATATCAAATTAAAACTATAAATCTTTTAGAAAAACAATTGCATGAACAAAATTAAAATTAAAATCAAAATCAAATCATAATTTTGCTCTCTAACTTATCCTAATTTAGATTTAATCAATTTTCTTCATATCAAACCTAAATTCAAACTCTCTTGTCTTTATTCTTCAAAACATAACCTTGAAGGATCAAATTGTAGCGATTCCGGTTCTGACCCGACTCTTATTTCATTTCAGACTCGGGCTTATAGTTTCTGAATGTTGTTCATTGTCGTTTTTCCCTTTAATCCCCCTTAAATTTGGTTACTAGATTGTAGTTGTGTGTTTGGAACATGTTGGTTGCTTGTTTTTCCAAACCTTTGTTGCCCAGATTTTTGCTCCTCCGCTCGAGCAGCTATTCTTGCGCTCGAGCGGGCTTTGCAATATTTGCTCCTCCGATTGAGCGACTATTCTTATGCTTGAGTGGGCTTTGCAAACTCTCAGTACTTTTACAGACTTGCAAATACTGGAAGAGTATATTCTATGCTCAAGCGACATTACTACGCTCGAGCGGGTGGACGCTCGAGCGTCTAATCTTGAGCTAGAGCGACATCCTTCATTTGCAATACTTCTGAAAGTATGCATTTTGTGCTCGA